GTATGAGGGCTCCCTGTAAAATGCTGAATTACTTCTTGTTAGCCGGTCCAGCTCTGGTTGAAGGGAGCGTCGAGTCCCACCTGCCCTCCGTGGGAAGGTGTGCTTGGCAAAGTAGCTGCAAAAAGATGCGCCAGAAAACAGGACATTTGGTCTGAATGCTCTTGGCAGGCTCAGAAGGAGCCAGCAGAGTTCACTGGCTTCTATTCCCAGTGTATTGGGGCGGTTGTGCCGCTGAGTCAGAGCTGATACGGATCTATAATAGCTACAGGGCGTTTAAGGAAACATTTCTGCTCTTAATAATAAGAAAACCCGTGCATATCTGCCGAGGTGACATCTGTCATGTGTTTTTAAACACACATAGCCTGATAACCTAGCAAATTATCCAGATTGCAAAAAAGACAAAGGGAGGTAATGAGAACAAATGAGCTTACATTTCTGTAATGCCTTTCATTGAGATGGATAGCGAAGTGGTTTGAAAACTCTATTAACGGCTTCTACAAACTATCTAATCTATCGCATCCCCAAACGTATTGAGTGCAGCTTCACTCAGGCTTTATGAGAAAAACATCTCCATTAAGCAACCAATTTTTGTCCGTCGCTGGAGTGGCCACTGAAGTCTCCCCCGTGCAAGCAGGAGCACAGAAATCTTTACGTTTGTCGGTGAACTAAAGCCACCTTTGGGGTGAAATGCAGCTGTTGCGTCACAGCCTAAATGACTTCTAACTTCTTTACTACCTGGTGTCCAAGGATGTCAAATGCACTCATGAACTACACTCTACAGCCGCTGATTTGTCAGGAAACTTGCCCTTTTATAGTTCAGCGGTGGCAAAGAGAAAAGAGAGAACTCCCAAATTTTCTGCTTAAAACTGCTGCATCTCCTCTTCTTTCTCTCTCTCTCCTTTTCCTTGGTGACAAAAATTTCCCCTGGTGGCAAAGCGTTTCTTCCACTGAATCGGCAAGGAGAGATTTAGACCTAGTATTTGGATTGGATTGGATTGGATTGGATTTTTGACCTAGTATTTGGATTGGATTGGATTTGATTTTTGACCTAGTATTTGTTCTGGCCTTTTCAACACGAGAAGAAGAATCCCTGTCACATTCCTAATGGAGTGCTTCTGACTAAGACACAGCTTTGCACCCATTTTCTCGCTCCCATGATTTTAAGGCAGGCTGAGCGTGTTCATAACAGCACATTGCATCAGCACCAGGGGCTGGGGGCACTTAAGAACAACCGGCACGTGAAGTGCTCTGGCCACGAGCCTCAGCCTTCCCCAAGTCCCATCTGCACCTCCTGGAATAAAGTGGCTGCTGGTTTCCCCTCTGGCAGCCGCGGGGTCCTCAAATGCAGACGGCAAAGGATCTTCAGAAGGAGACGTGTGTTTTTCTTACAGGTAGAGAGGTGGCTGCTCTGCAGAAGCGGTGGGGCGGCAGGGCCCTGGCTGGAGCAGGGCGGTGTGACCGCATCCCGATGGATGCATGTTCCCCTCTCTGCAAGGAAAATGAGTTGGGATAAGACCTGGCCGCCCCACGGTGGTTTCCTCAGCTGCCCCGTGGTGGTTTCTTTTGCTTCGGGTTTGACTCATCTTCTGTCCTCAGTCTTCTCAAGCCGGTTCTTGTCTGGGCAGGGGAAAGCCTCAGGTTTTCTGTTCCTCCCAGGCACCCGCTCCCTGTGCTGTAGGTGAGCTGCCTGGAGAGCAGAAGTTGCAGCAGCGGCTACTCCCGGGATGGGATTTTGTTCTAGAGCGCCCTTGGCAGGCGGTCAGACGGGTGCTCCGTTAAGCCCAGGTTTAATGCTGCAACTGCTGCTTCTCAGCGGCGCTGGGGCAGCGCCTGTACGAGCACGCGGTTCCCTGCCCGTGTGTATTTAAAGGAAGCGGGTTAGGAAGCGCGTGGCAGGGCCAGGAATAGACTCCTCGGCTCTCTTTCTCGCAGATGGAGGTCACTGGGATTCTTTTACGAGATCGAGAGTCAACTTTATGAATCATTTTTTGATGTGTATTGGATTTGGCACATAACATCCACCCCCCCTTCTCGCCTGCCTCCGGACCCCTTCCTCCCCAGGCTCCAGTTCCCGTTTGCAGCCTCAAGTCTTCGATTCACATTTACTGCAAGGAGGCAAGCGCGGAAGTCTATGTGTGTGCTGTGCGTGCATCAATAATAGAACTGAAATCAGACTTAGTTAAAAATAGATATTCTTCCTAATAAATATTTTACTTACTGTCTTTAGGATATAAAGCTCCCCTGGCTGAAGCGTTAAAACAAATCTTGTTGTTAGCCCCTAAATGCTTAAAACAACCCCGGCCATGGCTGTACAAATAATGCCTGGCTGAGAGGCTGCGTTGGGGAAGGCACGTGTTCGCATGGGTGGGCGTATAGACAAGCGCCTGCCCTTAAAGGTTTCAGAAAGGCAGCCCTTTGGCTAAGGGCACCGGCCTTTGCATCTGACTTCGACTCATTTGGTGACCTGTGGATTTGCCTAATGAAAATTAAAGATAAAAATCTCTCTGATATTTATGAATAACGTTCTTCTTCCCGTCTCTTCCTTTCTTCCTGCCCAAGAGTGGAATTGGAATCAGCTGGCTGCGTAAGGCAGAACAAAGGACGCTGACAGAGGCTGCGATAGGAGAATTTTTCATTAAAAAGAGTGACAGGTGGAAGAATTTCTCCAAGTGTGTTTCTGGGAGATAATCCGTCTGCATTTTGGTTTTTAGGACGTCACTTAATGTGCCTTACTTGACACGGTGTTTCCACTCCCTAGGCCCCCCCAGGAACAAGGGTTTTACAGTGTCGCTTTAATTGAGAACAGGTTTGCTAAACCAGAGCTCAGCTTTATAACAGATAAAACTAGGACTGAAACACGGCGATCTGAAACACAGTGAGCTCCGAGCATGAAGTACAGGAGGTGAAGTTCTGCCTAGCAGCCTGACCGTGGCGTGTGCTTCAGGGGGTGCAAAGCCAGCTCGGCAGTCAGTGCCACGAAGAATTCCAAGGCACAAGTTCAGCCTGCGGGTGGGCGGATGTGGGGGTGCAATAACCAAATGCAAGCCGGCTGAAGGGCCTTCAAAGGGAGCAGGGGCTGGAGCATCTCCCGGCGCTCGCAATAAGAGCTTCCTTGGGGTTGAAATGCATAGAGGAATAAATCACCCCGGCATCTGACTCCCAATTGTATTTTCAGACCGCTAAAACATAATTGGCATTCCGGACTGAACATAGTCCTGTTTTCCTTGCTAGGCAGGCAGAGACCTAGTCAATACGGCCAACCAGGTTTAGGACAGAGCTCACTTCACCCTGCCTTTTTGCAGATGAATCGCACTGCTGAGCTCTGTTGGCTGCCTCGGCTGGGTCGTTACCCTAGCAGAAGCCCCGGCGCCTTGCTTAGACACAGACACCTACCTGGCTAACACATAAAATCACGCGACGCATGCAGTCGTTCAGCAAATGTGGTCCAGCTGAAACGACAGCAAGTTGGATGTCGGTGCGAGTTACCGAGGGTCTGCTGCCAACGTGGAAGGAGCAGGGCATTCCAGAGATCCAGCTGGGGCTGGGAGCTGCCCTGCGAACTTCCGCTGCCGACCTGGATGAGCCATTAGGAAGCACGCTTACTAGATTGCCAGACCGGAGCACGTCAGAGGAGGGGACTGGAATTTAGAAAGGTTTGGACAAGCTGGAGCCATCTAAAAAGATTTAGTTTCACTTCAGTATGGAGAAATAAGCTGTTTTCTCTGCCCGCTGACAGTAGGAATGAAGTACCCGCTTTAATTTTAAGATGGAAATTAGCTGTCAAGGGCACGTTGCCTGGAGAAGTTATGTACCCTCCATCGCTGGAGGTCTTAAGAGTCTGTGATATGGTAGAAATATGAACTAAACATTATAAATGAATAAATCAGAACATTAAGAACGCCCACACAAGCCCAGCAGGACAGAAGCACATACGTAGCCTGGGTTCTATGCTCCAGTGGCACGGGGCTTGCTGTGCCCTATCTTGCCTGAGTAAAGGCTGCAGAATTTTCTCTGTCGTGAAAGAAACCAGGGCCTGACACCAGACCATAGAGCGAAACAAAGGGAGTCCAGGGAATGGCATCGCTTCTGACAACTAATTTTTATGGAGATATAAATGAGAGGTTATTTATGTCTCCCTTTGGCTCTTGCCCTATGGAGACTGAAATGGGGTGAGGTGCTCTGATTAAAGCATATAGCTGCAAATGATCAGAGAGCCCATGGCCGCCATCCTGACGATTTTCATTATCAGAGAGCAGAAGCCATCGGGGCCAAGTGCTTGGCAGTGCTATTTTTGAACGAATCAATTCATTCCGATTTCCATCAAAACTTGCAAAATTAGGAATTGGAGTGGCGACTGATCCCCGCTGACCTGCAGCATGTGTCCTTTAGAAAAGGATATTTGTGAGGCTTATTCAGAGATCTGATAAAGTGCAGATAATTTTTTTTTTTTCATTTGGTATTTACTGGCTTTGGTCAGTTCACAAATTCCCAATCACAGATTTGCTAAAACTAAATGTTATGCCCTTTTCATCATGCATTAAAAAATAACAGGTATTCGGCACAGAGATTATGTCATCCCAGCCGGGCCTCAGGAACTGTCACGAGAGCAGCCCCCCCTTTGCTGGGGTTACGGGGGCCCTGCGTGCTGGTGCCCGTGGCCTGCGCTGTGCCGGCTGGGGGAAGCAGTAAGCCACCCCGGGGGGCGGTGGGACCCCCAGCCCTGCACCGATAGCTGCTGGGGCGGTGCAGCACCGCTCCGTCGTCATGCGTACGCACACGCTGTGCCCTGTCTCAGCCCACTGCTGGCCGAGTCGCTGCCTGTGCAGGCTGTATGTCCTGACCGCAGACTCTTAGGGTGTTTTATCACCCATAGAAATGGCGCAGCAGCCCTAGAAAGGTCGTAAGGAGCCCGTGAGGTCCCCCTTTTTTTCAGGCAGCCAGCCTTTCCGAGGTTGCTCTTGTTTGGCTTTTCTGTGGCGCCCCACCAATGCAACCCACACCCTTGGGGATGGCGAGGGCTCCATCCTCAATCACCACACAAAGGCTGGAGGAATATTTGTTGTGAGAAGTGTGAGAAGAGCCCCGCGACCAGTGTGGGAACCGGCCCTGGGCTTTCTGCTGCGGAGGACAAGGAGCGGTCAGGTAGCCTGAAGCAGTTGTGCACCTCTGCACGCCTGTGTCCACAGGCATCCCCATAAGTGTGACTGGTTTTATTCTGCTGTGGGAAGCCGTGTACAGCTTGATCCAGTACAGCGTGAACACAAAGGGCTGCTAAGCCAGCCCTCTGCACTTCTTTATCCTGCCGGCATAAAGAACCGCTTGCCTGTAGGGACCTCCTATCAGCTTATTATTCCAAGGCAAGAGTAATTGTAATCTGTCAATTTAATCTGTTATTCTGCTCCGAATCCAGGGTCAGAGGTCTGACCCTGCAAGGAAATGCGGGGGTCCTGATGGCAGTGACATGCATGGTCGTATACTGCTGGTACGGAGAAGCTGGCAGCACAGGGAATCCTGGCCAGCAGTGATGAGAAAGGATGCAATTAAATGGGACAGGGTGGATCCACAGCGGGAACAGCGAAGTGGAGAGCCGCGGGTCTGGACTGAGGTCCTCCCGGGAAGTGCACGTCTGGGATGACGGGAGCAGCGCAGGTCAGAGCTGATGCGAGCAGAGCCGTGTGGGAAGGCTGCTGACAGCTCTCGCCGTCTGGTTCCCATCCCGACAGCCAAGCCGTCACGCTGGCTCTGCTCGGAGCAGTCCTCCTCCTGCCACCTTCCCTGTCCCCTTCCCCCTAGGGCCCCTCTCAGGTGGAACCAAGCAGAGATGCTGGCGTGGATGGGATGAAAGCACTGGGGGCACTGAGGGCCTCAGGGGAGCAGGGCAGCGTTTCAGAGAAGTCCCTGAAATAAAGGGGGAGGACGCGGCAGCACAGGGGACGGGGGAACGCACGGCTCTTCCAGCACAGGCTGTGGACTTGGCCTGGCCGACTGTGGAAATGCACAGTCCTTATCTTAAATAATCACCGCTTTAAAGCTGTGCGTATGGGAAGCGAGGCAGATTTGTGCTCTCTGCCCTCCGCCAGCTGTGTCCTTCAAAGGTATTTTCGGCGGCAGCTCCCGAGGCCGCGCAGCAGCGTGTTCTGGCGGGGCAGGCGCTGGCTCTGGCACACGCTCCCTAAAGCTGTCGGGAGCCGGGATTAGCGACCCGCACTGCCCAGCGCGAGGGCCCATCTGTGCAGCCACGGCGCCGGATTAGCTGCCCTGGGCGCTCCAGCGGCTGCAGTTTTTTCGGGTGGTGCGTTGGGATTGTTACTCCCATTTTGTGTAGCTGCCGTTGGTACGAGGAAGTCATTAGAGGTTAGCAGAAGGACAACCAGGCGCGCTTTCTGTGTCACGGTGATTCATTTCAGTAACAATCGTGTAGTTATGATCAGCCATCAGCATAAAGCATCCGTAAAGCACTGAATCAGCTCGGTCAGTAAATCACCGGAGCAAAAGCAAACGTTGGCCACCCCGGAGCCTCCAAGAAATGTTATTTTGCAATCAGTTGTAGAGAACGGTCTTTGCATATAAAATATTCCATGAATGTAAACACACCGAAAAGACTAATGAAAATTAATATGATTCTATAAATCAAATTATACATGTATTCTTTGATTTCTACTTTGAAATAATTTTTACATGTTTAAAATATTACAAATATTAATGCAGTTGGACTTGATTACTGCTGAGAGCAAACACTCTGAGGAACTTCTTCAGGAGTAATATTTGATACAATATTTGATATTCATTAACCTTCAGTTTATTTGATAGCAAAGAGGATATATTCCTGACATAATACATTTGCTTTTCCTCATATAGAGATCGAACGTGAATCAGACATAATCCAGCTGGAGTCTATTGGCCGGTTTCACCATTCCCCTGCTCTTCTGCCCCAGTATGAACGACCACACAACTGAAAGGGCCAAGAACCGGCACCACCAGACTGGTACCAGTGCCTGGGGAAAACCGGGACGCACCGGTGCAATGCTGGTGCTGCTCGGTGCCGGGAGCTTCCCGTCACAGATTTATTGTCGCCTCTGTTCGAGAGGAAGATCGTCAGAACCGCAGTCGTAGGGCAGGGTGGTCCGCAAGGCTCGGCGTGTCGTGCACTCTTGTGCCGCTTTAAGCGATGGAACCTAAGTCATGATGATTTTTTTTGCGTATACATTTTTCAGCGCCCCGAAGGGAATCAATGCACTTGTCCCTTCAGCGTTGCAGGAGGGAGAATCGCTGGAGGAACCAAGGCCATCGCATCCGACGGCTCCGGTGAAGACGCCGCGGCGGCCATGCAGCATGGCGGGGCCCGCTTGGCCTCGGTGCAGCAGTGCGGGGCGCTCAGCCCCCAGCTCGGGACAGCCAAGGCCGCCGCCCCCCGGGTCTCCTGCCCCTCAGCCGCTCGCCCTCCGACCCCGGC